CTCCTTTATTCCGCCACATTAACCTTTCCAATATGCTCTGTGAATTGTCTTCCTTTAATTCACATCCACACTTACCACCCAGATCCTTTCAAATCTTATACATCCAGACAAATTTACTCTTCTACAGAGCATTTATGCAGCTTAATGTCTTTTTGAAAAGATTATTATTTAAATGTGTTTGTAGGCTTTTTTTAGTACCCATCCACCATTGCCACAAAATTTTCCAGACCTACATCAAAAATGAAAATGTGAAGTACACCAGCACTTGGGAAGGGGAGAGCAGTTTTGGGGTTTGAACTGAGTTTTTATAGATTTATGACTGTAGTTCATTCACTAGTGAAATTTTTAAATAATCATGTTTTTGCTATGGTTATTTCATTTTTCCAGACTGTACACTTTTATACCACATAGGACTGCTTAAATTGTAGTTCTGGGATAGTTTATTTCATCCCATTTCTCAAGGCCATTGCTGCCTGCACTCTCTTAAATTTTGCAATTCTTTTCTGCCAAACACATATACCTTCACAACAATTTAAAGAGACATGAATATTAATGAAAAGGAGGATGTACACACAAAAAATAATTTAACATGAGGATTATCAAGGACTTATCTAAGAATGGCAGCAGGATTTGTTCTGCATTCTAGCTGATCAGGTAGACACTAGGTACCAGAAGTGTTTTCCCTACTTCCATGGAGAGGATTAATGTTAAGGCATACAGTTAGCTGTCAGGACTATTAATTGCCTAAATTCCTCAAGTTGAAGGAAAAAAAAAAGCCAACTCTGCAGAAAGCATCTTTCAAACGATGCTGTGTTTTATTCTTTACAGCAGAGGGATAAGCCCACAGCAGACTGCAACCAGGTAAGCAGGAAACTGAATGTTGAAAAATAGACAAAAACATGACATGGGGGTGAAAGCAAGGTAACATAGGTTTCTGGTGCTGCTTGGTCAGCCAGCATCTGTCCTGAAGAAAACTGAACACTGTTGCCATTCCCAGCTCCTTGTTGCTCTCCTGTGTTGCTCTCTAAGCAGTGGTGAAGCAGTGGGGAGAGCCAGCCTCTTCCAAGGCAGGGCTGGTGAACCTCTCCTACCCTGACATGGTGTCACCCTTCCTCACTGTGATTCACATCAGTGCATCCCATGAGGCCTCTCCATGGAGCAAATCTGTTCTCCATTATTGTTTGCAGGCTGCACACTGCCCTGGACTTTTCTCCTGTTAGGCAGTGGGGGAACACGGCACCATGTGCTGCCACTACCTGTGACCTGGGCTTCCTCTTCCTCCCATGAGCAGCAGAGGAGAGAAGATGTCTCCATAGGTGATCCACATATAACTGACTGTCCTGCTGCTCCCAGATGCCAGACTGCTGGCCCAGAGGTCTTGGTGTCTGAGGCACCTCAAGGTGCACCTGTAATGGCACAGTCCTGTGTTTAATTATGACAATGGTGGACTTAGCAGCTGTTGTGCTACAGAAACTGGCACCAGCACTGTGACTTTCCAACAATCTTGATGCCACTTTTTAGACTCACTGAAATGAGGCTGCTGGAGTGACCTTTTACATCCAGGCATTAGCATCTACCATCAGTGGTTCTGGATATACCAAGACAACTCCCCTGGGCTCAGATGCCACATCCCTGTGGTGATGCAGCAGCTGCCAGGAGCTACTCCCTCTGCTCTGTGCCTCTGGCTTTACACACAGTCTTCACTCCTCCTCTGCGTCCCCCAGCTCTGTGAGCAGAACCACACACCTTGGGAGGACTGTGTTTATATATAATTAAATGACAGCCAGCAAGGAAACCCACCTCCTAAACCACAGAGAGAAAGAGCACAGTTTGGTGTTGCAGTCTGTGGTCACTTATGATGAAGTATTTTCCAAAAGAAAACAGGCCATCACTGAAATAGCTGCTTCTTCTCAGTGTTTTGAACTGGCTCTTCCTCCGGTCGGGGATGTAAGCGACTGCAGTTCCATCCAGGCTCAGACTGAGGCATGTTTCAGTTCCTAGTCATGTTTCCTTCCTTGCCACTGCCACAAAGCTGCAATGTGCATCAGGACAATCTGCACATACCAAGTAGTATTAGGATCCCATTAGCAGGCTTGGGTGAGGGAGATGAAGAGGGCTTACTTGCCCACGTTGGCTTGCAGTCCTGGATGTCAAAAGGACATTTTCATCTGAGGAGCGCTGAAGACCAACTTCCAGAATGCTGGTATCTGCCAAGCCTGGCTCCCCCAGCATACTGAAATCCCTATTGCAAGTCTGTTCAGAAAGAAAAAGTGATGTAACTACCATAAATGGCTTTAAATAAATAAAAAAAAGGAAAAAAAAAAGAAAAATCAGTACTGCATAGGAATGTATAACGTCACCACAGGGAAATAGCAAACACCTCTATTTGGCCAGACTGACAAATGCTGAAAAGCTGGTGAAACCGGGTGCAGACCTGGCCTCTAGTGGGCCTCCAAACTGGAAGGCTTTAGAGAGGAAAGCCCTAAAATAATGTGTTCCTTTTCCAGCAGGCTACACGATTTTATTTCTGTTGTTAGGATAGTCTGAGGTTCTGTAAGTGCATTTCTCTTAAATGCCATGGGCCACTCCCTTAAGGCTCCACTGCATTTATGCTGCATGAACATATTTTAAAGCAGGCACAAATGTCCCTATAAATATTAGTAATATGACAACTGGAACCCATGGAAAAGCTGATGATAAGAATAGTAATTTTTAAGACTTTGTGGCATCAAAGAATATGAATATAGTATTTGTGACAAGTGTTTTGCCTTGGGTAATATTCTGGAGCCTGGGTCAAACTCTTCCTTTAGCACTTATTGTTTTCAAACTACTGACAGAGAATTATATCCTTCCATGAGAACTAGTTCTAAAAAATACATGTAATGTGAATGAATACACAGAATATCCTGGAAATATACATGTAATTCGTAAGATCACTAGTGGCATTTAGCACAGTTCATTAGCTGTCTAGGCCTGAATAGCATCAGCTGAAAAAACCAAGCAGCCTGTATATGCCACAAAGTGTGGAGGAAGAATATCCCTCATGTAAGAGTTGAGCAGATCAGCAGACTCTCAAGTATCGTGCCTGTAACATACCTCTGCACTTCAAGACGTACCAAATGGAAGATTGTATGGTGCAAGGAATTTATTTTTCCCTGTAATTCTGGTGGAAGACAAAGGGTTCCCTGGGTGCAGCAAAACATGTCAATTCCTCTGGTTGCATTTGTTGCTTAAACTGTTCACAGGCTGATGCTTTGGAGCTTTCAGTAAGGCTGTCTGGAATTCCCATCCTCTGGAAATATTCCAGGGTTTGCAGCAAAATATTTGTCCAACTTCTGAATAAAAACTAAAGAAACTAGACATATTTTGCAGGAAATTTGGGTAAAGGAAAAAAGGCAACTGTTGGAACAATGCATATTGTATTTTACATCTGGCTAGAAGATCTGACAAAAAAAAAATTCTCTGGTGAAGTTGAAATTGTCTAGCAGCAAATGACTCTAGCAGACAACTCCCCATTCCTTTCCCTGTTAAATCTTGGGACTTTTTTTTCCTTGAATAGAAATACAAGCCAAAAAATTATTGCACAACCAAATGAAGAGTGAAAAAAAAGAAACCCTTGAGCCATGGTATTGAGTAAATGTCACCTGAATCAATAGAATGTGCAACAGATGTAGGTTTTAACATTGGGTTTGCAAATTAATTATTAATTTATTTTTAAAGCAATGACCATAAATCTTCCTAGAACGGATTGTTATTCTGCCTGTTATGATTCATTAATGTAGTACAGGATAAGATCATTATCATCTAAGTTAACATTTTTGAGACTGCCAAATATCCTCCAAGTATTTCCTGCAGCTGGGACTGCAAGCATCTTCCTCGGAGCTGGCAGACTGCTTGCACGGTATCCTGCTCCGAGAGCTTCTTGTGGCTCTGGCACCGTTGTGCCCACAGGACCCCCCACTAGAGTGGGTCACTTCACTTGCCCCTCAGGCAGCAACAAAATTGGAAGCTGATTTCAAGCTGTCAAGCTGCTTGTGAAATCAGCACCTGCAGAGACACATGATCATGTCCACAAGCACCTGAAGCTGGAAAATGCTTCTCCAGATGTTGGGTTTCACTCACCCCAGCCTCCAGCTCAGCTGGCTGGTTAGTGGGGCAGAATAGTCACCAACACCTTTGAATAAATTGGGACTCCTCTCCTCCTCTTGGAAATTCCCACTTTGTTAAGTCAAAGGACACAGCAGGCAGAGTAGCAGCCATAGGAGACTGGTTACCAAAAATAGGCTTTTTCCCCTCTCAATTTCTTTTTGGTGTAATTTCCTGACTGCATTATTGAATTGACAATGACATAAGGAGCGTGATGCAGCAACAGGGGAGGTGGGAGCAGGTAAAAGCAAAAAAAAGCAATGACATGCTTGTGTAGAAGAGAGGAAAATGAGCTGGCAGTAAGGGGAATTCACAAATTAACCTGACAAAGAGGCTCACAGCCATCCCCTGCCCCCACAGCCACTCTGAGAGTCCTCTGACACATGAAGGATTTCAAAAGGGAAAGAACCCAACAAAACAAACAAAACCCAAACCACCACCCCAAATTACAGCAATTACTTGATCAGGGCATTTTCACTTCCTAATCTGGGAGAGAGTAATTCCCCTGGGTCATCTGACCTCTGTTGAAACTATACCAGGAAGAGGAGCAGCAGCAGTCACTGAGTGCAGGGCGTTCTCCGGCTGTACAAAAGCCTCTCGGGTGTGAGCCACAGCTCAGAGCAGCCTAGGGATGTGCATGCGTGCATATACATAGCCAGGCAAGGTGCAAATACCCTCCCAGCCAGATCAGCTCTTGCACAACTCTCCGATCCTGTGCAGCCCAGCAGATCTTTTGTTTTTCCCTCTGCTGCTCGTCTCCAAACATGCTTCCAGATCAGAGCTTCTGAAGAGCTGTTTCCTCCCGCGCATCTCCCTGAAACAGCTCTCTCCAGGAAGAGGCACTGGACAGCAGCATGGTGGGTATGATGGCAGTGAGGACGTGGATTGAGCCAGTGGTCGCAGGTTCCCAAGTGGCCAGCGCCTTCTACGACACAGCACTACTGCTGGTGGTGAAGAACTACTACAACCAGACCAACGCCACCACTCCCTTCCATGTACTGGAAGAAGCTCAGCAGAAGGCTGTCTCTAACTTTTATATCATCTACCACCTAGTTCTGGGCCTGAGCCCACTGGTGTCAGCCTATGGCTTGTCCAAGCTGGGGGACAGGATACATCGGAAGATCCCCATCTGCATCCCTCTTTTTGGTTACTTGGGCTCCAAAACTCTCCTGCTTCTCCTGATCCTGCTGGGCTGGCCAATCGAGGTGATGTATGGAGCTGCTGCCTTCAATGGGCTGACAGGTGGTTTCACCACACTTTGGGCAGGCATCATGGCTCTGGGATCCCTGGGGTCCTCAGAGAACCGGAGGTCTCTGCGGCTCATCATTATTGAGCTGGTGTACGGCCTCGCTGGCTTTCTGGGAAGCATGGCATCTGGCTACCTCTTCGTTGGCTTCAGTGATCGCTATCAAGAAGGCACTGTGCTAGTGTGCTGCAGCATCGCTTGCTATGCTTTCTGCCTCCTCTACAGCATTTTTGTCCTGACAGTCCCCAAGCCAGCAACTTCCTGCCCAGCCAAAGCCAAGAGTGCAGAGATGGGTAGTCAGCTACCAACCCACACAGGAGCAGCAGCAGCAGCAGCAGAGAGTTCTCAACCTTCAAAGGGCAGCAGCTCCACCCCAGTATCCCCCTCAAAACTCATCATCATCCTCCTGTTTGTGGCAGCAATCCTTTATGACCTCGCTGTGGTTGGTGCAATGAATGTCCTCCCACTGTTCTTGCTCAGAGAGCCTTTAAGTTGGAATGCTGTGCAGATTGGCCATGGTAATGCTGCTGGATACGTGATCTTCATCACCAGCTTCCTAGGAGTATTTGTGTTCTCCAGATACCTAAGAGACATTACCATGATCATGATCGGAGTGGTATCCTTCAGCGCTGGCATCCTCATCATGGCCTTCGTGCAGTGGACGTTCCTGTTCTACATTGGTGAGTCAAACAATCATTCACATGAGAAAATACACCCTGAGAAAGGAGTGTTTCAGCATCACTAGAAAGGCTTTTGCTCTGCTTCACTACAAGTTTCCAAGCACAAAGTCAGGCAGACCATCACATGAGCAATTTGCCAGACAACATTCTTATTATTATCCTTTTCCCACTTCTCTTAGTACTCTTACACTCAGCATCCTACAATATCCAGAGGAGGCATACACTCCTGCTAAGGCCAGTTTAAGGCCAGCAGACCTGTAGTTTAATACTCAGTCATAGCCCAGATCTAAGAAGGTGAACAGTGCTCACACTCTAGGGGAGTGGCAATTGTTGCTGACTCTCTGTATTAGTTGGACCACATTGGTGTATCAATGGGAAGCACTTGCTTCTTGTGAGGTAAGGCGTAGGACTCCAACAGAAACAAAATGGCAAAGACTTCCTATTAAATGAACACCTTAAGATGCGATTTATTATTTTTATATGAAGGCACTTATGGCCAATGAGAAACTTAATGAAACACGGGAGCTGCTGTAGAATTAAAATATCATGATTAATGTAGTTTACAAATCTCACACTATAAATGACCAAAGGACAGGGGACAATAGACAGAGCAGCACTTCATGATAAAGGAAAGGCAAGTTTATTTTGGGGAGGTAACCTCAGATGGAACACAGAAAATAAAACCCTAGAACTGCATTCATTGTGGCAGAAATATCTGACAGAGTATCATGTATCACATGACTTTAAGGTTTTGCTTCTGAAAATGAGAAAAAGATTGAAGATAATGGCCTGAAGCCTTCTTTTTTTTGCCTGTCCACGCTTTACAGGGAATGAGAAATGGAAAATTAAACAAAGTTATTCTAAAGGGAAAGATTATTGGATATTGTATTTGCATACTCAGCCAAACACTGAGGGAAATTTTTAAGAGATTTTGCTTGCTTAGGCAATCACACTGGTAAATATAAGATTTTGTAAAAAAATTTTTACAAAATGCTTGTTTAATATTAAGCTCACCTTCATCATGAAAGCATGCTGCTTTGTAGTGTATAGGATGCTTGTTCCCTGCATTGCAGAAACACCTTGGTACACTAGGCATGTAGCAAGTCTTCACGGAGGCTGGTTCTGTTGACAGGAAGGTATTTCCACCTCCCTAAAAGTTTCCACACTAGAGAAAGTCTAAAATACTGCAAGCCAGAAGCACTGAGATACAAGACAGCTGTAGCATTATAAAGGTACTGTTCCTGTCAAGGCTGTGTAGCACTAAGGGCTCTCTCTGCTGGTTAGTCTCAAATCATTGTTCTCACTGTCTCAAAGGACAGTGCCATATTCCATCTATTCTGGGATTTCTGGCCAAGACCAGGAGACCACGACCAGGCTGGGCCAAGTACTTCTGTTAATGGGAGTAATATGTGGCTTATCCCCCATGCCTTGGATGGTGAGGACCTACTTTTTCCTGGTACTCAGGGGACAAGAAAAGGTGAAGGTGCCTGCCCAAGCCAGAGGCATGTAGTCTTCAAAGGCCGTGGCTGTTGTGTCAGGTGACAAAGAGCAGGTACTGATGATAACTACCTATTTGTTGCATTACAGCACGGGCAGTGATGCTCTTTGCCCTCATTCCCTTACCAACCATCAGGTCCATGTTGTCCAAGCATGTCGAAGGATCATCCTATGGTGAGTATTTTGGTTACTTTACAGATCAAAAACACCTCAAATCCCTCCATTAAGTCTAGGGTACAAAAAGAAAGGTAAATTATTGCTGCAATCTATGCATTGTGTAATAATACTAGAACAGATTATAACACAATTGGAAGGGAGGAGCAGAAAAACTTGCATGACAAGATTGTCACATCCAAACTTCTTGTCCTTGGTTGCCACATCCAAACTTCTTGTCCTTGGTTGCATGATCTTTTATCCACAGAATTTTCAGCATGTGCTTCAAAAGATTACTATCAGTGTGTAGTTCAAAGGCAGGGAAAACAAGTGATGTGTTGCTCAAAAACACAGTACTCCAGGAAGAAACAAGAGAAGCAGGATGACAGCTCATTGACATTCACACCATTTATATTTAGCTTCTTTTACTTCCAGTTTGGAGAAGGGTAGATTTCTTTCACCTGTTTTTCAGTTATGCTCTCTAAACATTTCTCCAAGTGTTTGGCAACTTGTTCCTGTCAGATCATGATTTAACTACAAAGAATAACCTTTGTGTAAAAATTTACCCCTTTTGAAGAATAGGAGGAGAAATTATTTTCCATTAAAAATGTATTAGAAAATAGTAAAATGTATTTTGCACTAGCATATTTACAACAAGCATATTGAAGGATAAAATTTTTACCCTAATGGGCTAGGTTTAGACAAAAGAGACAGGACTGGCCGTGCATTCAAATACCACCACTGGCCCACTACTGCTTGTATGTCCTCCAAACATGTTGCCACAGACATCCTTCACATCATTTTCCTTTCTGCCATATGAACACAACACTGCTCTGTCACCAGTTCATTCCCATAGCTTGTGCTCCCTCAACATGCTCTGTAGCAAAATCACCTACCTGCCACAAATAGCACAGCTCACACTCAAAATTCATCATTGTTATTAATCATAATGTTTTTAATCTCCACCATGAGCCATACAGGCTGCATCCGACAACAGTGGCAGACCAGATCTTGAGCAGGACCTTGCAGCAACGTAGCCCTTGCCTTCTGGTAACAGTCTCATCTCCTTAGGCGGTGGCTGCTGGTGTTGTGCAGCTGGAGAATGCTACCAGGGCAGCAAGCTCAGCACACAGCCCTGACCTTGCCCTCAGTTTGCACATACCAACAGGGCTGGGTTACTTCCCTTTCACCCATTCACCATGACAGAAACACTTCAGTCAAAATCAGTTTCAACTAGGATTCAGTTTCTGCCTTTCTTCCACCGGTTACAAATCACACACACCTTCCCTGTTTCATACACTGTTAGAATTTCAACCCTGTGGACCACTCTTCTGGCCTAGGGTAGAAGCAGAACCTGACAAAAATCTACCCTGTCCTGAAGATGTTAGCTCTAGACTACTTTTCTACCTTCTAAGGAAAAGAGCACTTATCGCCCAGTTTATGCTGCGCTTCCAAGCAGCTACCTTTACATCTAGGCTGTTTAAGCAGACAGTTTTCCAGCTGGATCTTTTGTGCGATGCCTAGAAGAAAGAAAACTCATTTAATTGTGATCTAGGACAGAAGCAGATACAATCTCATGCCATTTGGTGCTTGTCAAGCAATGACAACATCATTCTTCCATGCACTCATGATCCTGGTTTAATCAGGGACGTACCACAGCTGTAACTGTGTAACAAACTATATTCTTGTTTTACAGGTAAGTTGTTTGTCCTGCTGCAGCTGTCTTTAGTCACCACAGGAGTAGTGACATCTACAGTCTACAATAAGATCTATCAAAACACACTGAACTGGTACAGCGGCTTCTGCTTCATTTTGTCTTTTATAGCTGGTTGCCTGAGTCTCCTCCCTTTAAGGTAAGGAACAGAAAAAGTTTTATTCAAAAGAACATGCTGTAATTTCTCCATACTTCCTGATTCTAGGTCTAAAGTGTATAATACAGTTGAGAAAAATAAATAAATAAATACTCTAAAAATAAAAAACTTGGAGAGACAAAGAAATTTGAAGAAATGAGCTGACAAATACCAAGAAGAGTCAAAGAATGAAACTTGCAATATCTAGACAGTTTAATGTAACATGGCTTGCTGTAGGAGGAATGTCTGACAGACTTTAAGGAGACGAAGCCTGCACACAAATATAAGTGCTTGATACTGCAAAAATAGTAATAAGTAGAATGAGTAATCCACCACAAAGTAGAACATTTTTTAAAATTCCATTATATGTTACTTACTCATTGTGATAGAACAGACAAATTTCAGACTCCCTCAGGTGTTTCCCTCCAAGGGAAATCATCACCACATAGTGAAGGAAATGGCTACTTTTCTGATCCAGTGAATTTGCTCAAGTGTACCACTACAGAGCCACGGGGAGGTACAATTTCAAGAACAAATTTTAAGCAAATTTAGCACAAGCTTAGTTCGAAGCAAGCTGAAACAGTATCTCCATCTACTTTTCCTGAGTTTTTGAAGGGCCTCCCTACAAATCTCACCTTGTCCACCATCCCCTTCCCAATACCCTCTACCTTCTTGCCTTACTAGGAATGGCAAGATTCTTGCAGTATGAAGTGAATTGTGATAATGTCAATATTTAATATGTGCAACAACAATATTTTCATTCAGATATAAGCCAGGTACCGTACAGGCTAATGTCTGGCTCCAGGCAAAATTATTGTCCAGCTTTGCTGTAATTTTAAAAAAATATAGTAGTAGAAAGTCCGCCATGTATACCGACTTCAGTGGTCTTATAGAGGCAGAAAAGAAAAAGCAATACTAAGGAAAGATTCTCTACCACCTCTGTTTTATCTGAGTACCAAAGGCTTTCTGGGCTTTTGAACACATTTGAAAACTGACGGCAGCAGATCTGAGTGTGGGGAAGGCTGCTTCATACTCATCATTCCTCTGGCTCTGCTTTCCACGTGTTTTCCAGACAGGAAAGACTGATTTCTATGCACAACCCTCTGTTTAACAGTGAGTCACTGCTAGCTACTCAAATGCTTTTTAATACAGGTTCCAAATAGAAGTTAGCACCATTATCAGCACAAACACAGGTTATTAGGACTTACAATATGAAAGGTTGACAAATGGTGCCAATGTCATTGCTTGTACACAAGCGAAGGATACAGAGAGGCTGGCAGATTGTTGAGATGATTCCCATAAAGCCTTCAGTCAGCTCTGGACATGACAGCAAAATTTAAGATGAAAGTGGGGAACAAGAAAACTGCAGTTAGAGAAAGTAGTTTTTTAACTGTCTTATAACCTGCATTTTTATTGCTCTTCATAGCTTTGTGGCCATCAGACAACAGTCAACCACTGGCTCGCTTCAGATTCTGACTGAGTAACAGAGGCATCTTTTGGTCTTTATCAACTCTCTGAGCTACTGAAATGGAAGGTTTGCCAAACATTAGTCTCCACAGTTACCACCATTACAGGAAACATATCATTTGTATTTCCATTTCACAGCATGCTACTCTTAGCCACTAAGTTCACCCAGGACAAATAAGTTCTTGCCTTATTACTTCTGCAGTACCTCATCTTGCAGAGTATGTGCATTGGCTATCACACACCAGCAGACCTCAGAGCACTCTGGTTTTCTACTAGACTGGTTAGCAACAGCACAGAGGGACAAGAAGAGGGTAGAAATTAAAATGGTATTTCTAGACACGTCATTCAGTATGGAAGGGGAAAGTGGAGCATCAGTTCTCCATTAGTTCCTGCTTGTCTGTTCATTCAGAAACCTCAGGGCAGTTCTGTGACTTTGGCTGATGAAACAGTAGGCTCATATCATGTGCAAACAGACATCAGCAGGACACACCAGCTCTCTGACTGCTACAGAAGATGGGACCAGCCCAGCCAAATAATGTTATGAGAAAGACTATTAAATACAGAAATACCACCATAAAAAGATGCAAGATTAAGACACTTTTAGTAATCCCTACAATAAAACACCCCTGAACACATGCTCATGCCCCTGACTTCTGGGAGATTGCTGCATGGTCCCTGGACATGCTCATGGGAGGACACTTAAGACTGAAGAGCCAATAGTGGAGTTTCAACTCTCACCACTAGGATGTATTACTCTTGTAACAGGTTATGAACAGGTATGTGCAGCACAGAAGTCCTACAGGCTTTATGGAAGTGTAGGGACACTGATACCAGGTAAAAGCCACCTTGTTACCTCAGTTTCAATCTGGGCTGAGAAGGAACCTCATATAATACAGCAACTAGCATGGCTTGATGCAAATAAATCCGAACATGAATCAAAAGTCTGGCATGCCTTACAAGGATCAGGCCTTGTGTTATGTGTCTGCTTACATGGTAATTTAATTAACAAGGATTAAGTGGCTTCCAAGGGCTTGGACTAAGTAAAGGGAAATTAAAAGCCCTTCAGCAACTGAAATAATCTGGAGGCAAATTGGGTAGCTTCAGTTCAAGGCAGGGATACAGCAAGCAGAAGTTGGTTACTCGCTATGTAACCCCTTATTCTAAGGAAGTTGCTGCGACTCTGCTCCCTCCCACATACACTCGCAATTCTTCCTCAGCTCCACACTTCACTTTCAGTGTCAGAAGTAATACAACAACAGAGAATACTCCTAGTTCACTCAGCTGTGGAACAAGATTTTAACTGCTCAGCAAAATAAGCACACACATCATTTCAATGGTGAAGGCTGCAAAAAAATGAAAGTTTATTCTAAGAAGTCATCTTTTAATACATTTATTGGTCCATTCCATTAAATTGAGGTAAACAAATGGTGCATTTTAAAAAATGTACACACTAATAGAGAATTACAAACAGTTTTACCTCAAAGTGTTTTTCTCCATCAATACTAGTTCCATAGTAAACAACACACAAAGTATATTTATACAGAGATATATGAAAGGGTATTGAAACATGCCAGCACCAGAAGGCAAGACAACATTTCCTAGCCTGCAAGTCTGAACAAGAGCACTGTTGCCAGATTTGGTCAAGTGCAGGAAACAAAAGCCTCCTTCCCGTTTTTACATTGTTTACTAGCTAATTCACACAGAGACAAGTCTTTTCACAGCTTTCATTTTGTTTTTAATGGTACGAACAGTGACTCTAGTTCCAGTGAGTGAGTTTAGAGAGGTGGAAAGCAGGAAAGTCTGGACACCCAGCCAGCACTGTTTTGGACCCCAGCACTGACACCTGCAATGCAATGTGTGAAGCTCACAGCCAGCTTGCCTTCACCTGCACGGCCCAACTCTCAAGACGCTGAGGAGGGACAGAGGAAAAGAGAACAAGGACAGTGCTTCATTATTTTTGCGTACTACAGACAAAAGCCCTTTGGCTCTTTGTTATTGTAAGACTGCCTCTCAGCAATCTGTCTCCCTGTGCAGTGGCAACATGGCACTGGCCCCGATCCTGCTGCTTGATCTGAAGGTATGGATACATATCCCAGCAGCAGAGTTAAGGAAATGGTTTAGCTTCAAAGCAGAGTTCCAAGACCTTCCAAGTAGTCTAGGACAGTGACTAGCCTTTCTCATTTTAGCATGCCACTTATGTAAGGGTGATATTCCTTTTCAAGAAGTGCCTTATTTTCTGCACAAATACTGTGCCTTAGGCATGCAACCCTAGAACTTGTCCAACTCATTACTAATTACTTGTACTTAGCAAGACTTCTGCCAAGCACAGAATTAAACATTGCCATTTTAGTCTGCAAAATTGGTTAAACAGCACTCCCAAAAAGTTTCAACTGCAACATTCAGTCTGCCAGAGGGAAAGTTTATTACTGTGATCCCCAGTTTTACTTCACAAAAGAAAAATAAATAAATATAACAAGTAGTAGCAACTCCCCTATCTTAAAAACAAAAGTCTTCATTTTCCCTGTGTATTGGTTGCTATAGTAAAAGTTAATATACCAAAGGAAAGACTCTTCTACCTTCAGAATTTAAGACAACTGAACACCTAATGAGCTAGCTATGCAATTTTGCTCAGTGGTTATCAGCACCATGATTTTAAACAGTCTGCAACATTAATCATAACCGTATCCAGTTAAATTGTGCAAGTTTCAACAAAAGCAAGGCTCCTGTTAAAATACTGAACAGATCCTGCTGGGCTAGGAGGGAATTCTTTTGTACCTCAGCATCTGCAGGACCGACACCTGAAGCAATATGCATCACGAACAGGCGATGCAGAGCCACCACTGAAAAGCTACTGCACAGTACCTCTGCAGAACAGTCTCTGCCACTCATGCTTTGTAGATGTTTCTCACTTACCCCACTACTTATCCTTAGCACAAGTGTTAGTGCAACAAAAATCCAAGTAGACTTCAGTGAAGAATCCATAGTTTATTCTTTAATAAAGCTCACATCAGAATAGTTTGTGTCTTTAGGGCTACACCTATTACCTTTTAATTTTTGAGTGTATACCTGAAAAAGACATGTTTATTGCAAGATTTAGAACCCGGTAAAGATACACAAGAACATATGGTCCACTACTGAGCATAGAAACAAGATCTCAGTGCTTGCTTTATTGTGCTGGTGCCTGTTAACAGAAGAAACAAACATCCCAGGGATTACACAAAAGTAACCAGGACAGCAGTGAATTTTGCATCCTCTGCAAGAGACCTTGGCCTGGCTATGGACTATGAGGAAAACTGGGCTGATTGAAGGATTTCTGAAGGAACCACATGTTGCATAGGTTCATAGAATGGGTACCAACTGATGGAATTTCGGTGCATGACCAGAGGGAGACCTCAAGTGACTTAACACTCAAGAAGTTACTCAAAGATGAAGTTCTTGCACTACTGCTTCCCTTTATTAACACCTTTTACTTTTCTCACGGAAGTTTGGGCCACCCAAATTAGAGACTCATATCCTGTAAAGATTACAGGATAACATGCCAAGAGTTTCACTAACAGTTCAGATCTCAAACTCCCACTAACAGCAGCGATGTGAAACTTTGCAACTATCACTCTGTACATCTTATAGCAACTTCCTGAAACTTTGTGATTCTTCCAATTAGCACTGCTGCCCCAACATCACAGATAAGATCCTCCCAACACCTTACAGCCTCTCCACAGTTACCTAGTAATTTACAACAGCTCTCCATAAAAAGAGATCACTCCATAGCCCATAGTAGCTGAGATCCACCACTACACACCCTTCTTACACTGCAGCAATTCTTGCAGAGGATTTCTCTTTTGAATGTCAAGTTTTACTTCCCTTGTATCAGCTTAAGAGGTTTTGGTGTTCTACACCATATAACATACCCTGTTATTGGCCACTGCCTGAGGTGCATGGTCCAACCTCTCCTCCAAATCAACCTGCAGGTGCTACAGAGCCACATACTCCTACAGGGAAGTACGAAATGCACATGCCTTTCAACAGCTTAACCACAAAGGATTTGTCTAAAGTCAAAATATGCTTTGGAAGAGGACTGGGTTAAAAACTAAGCAAGAGAAGGAAACAGATGGAATAAAATTCAAGCTGATCTTCAACAGCTCCAGCTTCAAAAGTTACATGTTGATTTGAACTTCACTTCACTTGGTTCTCCCCACTGTCCAATACGCTTCTCATGAACAGGTGTGATGTCAAATGCTAAATTCCCCAGAACCAACAACCAGAACAGGACTTCAGTGTTGTAAAGCATCAGATGAAACCAACTATAGGAAAAATCCACCATGTTTTCTACTCATCTTTCACTATTTTTTGTAAGATGGAGGGAAGGCTGACTAAATATTAGTTCAAGCTGTTTTGCTTGACTACCAGTGATGTAGCAAACTACAAAATTCCATTCACCACACAGAAACCAGCTCAAAAAGCATATGATCTCTGTTTGTGGAAAACAGGGAAGACTGTAACTCTGAAGGTTAGACTGTTAGATAGTATCCAAGTGCTTATTCTGGAAGAAAAGATTGTTTCAAGATGATCCCCTTAAGTATTTCCCTTGCATAACAAGAGTAGCCTGTTACTCTGAACCCAACAGCAACTTAAAAAGAGTTCTCATTTACACAAAGTATATATTGACAAACTGAGCTTAAACCAAGAAGCATATTTTGTTTAGTACCAGAGAGTTGTCAATGAAGGCTGAGTCAAAAAGGAAGACCTCTTAAAACGTGTTAAAATTGACCTTTTTACCCAGACAGCACCATCTCCTTAGCCTGACAGCTACCACAGTGCTGTAATAGCTCTCATCTTGAAAGTTGCTATAAAGCCACCAAGCTGAGCAGGGTGGCTGCGGGTTCACTTAGTGTTTATGAAGGGATAAATTCCAAACCAGACTAGTACCTAGCAGGCTGTCACAGGAAAACACAGAACTTGCACTCTCTCAAATACAGCTCAGATTCTTTGCAAGAATGTTGTCAGATACCAAGTAATC